ACTCTGGAGGATTTTCGCCCTCGTAAGCAAATGCTAATTAACCCTGATAGGCGAATGGTTTGCGTATGAATGTTTCTAGTTTGCGGAATGTGCAGGAAAGATTCTGTGGGTGCCAGCGAGCAGCTAAATACCTACAACGCTGAAAAGAAAATGCAATGTTGGTGTTGTCGACTGCTTTGCTGAATTTGATAGTTTAGGTCGTGGTTTGTGATTCGCCACAGAGCCGATGCTAGTCGGTGTTCAACAGCCATTGATACCCGTCCTATTGACTACGTAGATCGACTCAATCAAGTATAATTTTGCATATGATTGAATCTAAGATTTGATGGGCATTGAAATAGTTTAACCCACGCATGACTGGGGTATTTTCCATAACGCGAGTGACTGGGGGGGCTCTCCAGAGCCCCCTCTCCTATCTCCGAAACTACTGGGCCGATCGTCAAAATTCAAATGGTGTCTGTAGCCCAGGAAAAACTGTCGAGCGAAACCTATTTTCATTGACCTTGAGGTCACCGATGACGTCACAGGTTAGGTCAAAGTAAAAATTATCGACATTTTTGCTAGTTTACAATTTAGGCTCTGCCGTCCGATCAGGCTCATTTTTGGTTTACGCACTCCTTGACGGATGCCGTAGATACCCTGAGGGTACCGAACTTTTACTTCGAATTTTTAAGGTCAAGGCCAGGTCATCCTAGGTCACGAAAATTGTATATCACGTATCGGTCACTGACGCATGTTTTATGTATTTACAGTCACCGTGGTTTTATGGTCCATTTTACTCGTAGATTCCGAAAATAGTGTCGTCTGTGTCATTTGAGGTCATTGTCAGCTGAATTTACCGGAGGTCAGGTCACTTTCAGGTCAGAAAAGGTCAAATTTTGAAAATAGAATTTTTCAACAAAAAAGGTGCCTATCAGATGCAGTTTGAGCTCAGCAACACGATGGTGCCATTTATATTGCTGTACAACGTCAAAAACGTACTGAAAAATGGATTGAAAAACATAAAATTGTAAAATTTTGACAATAAATGCGAATAACTCGGCTATTTTTGAAGATATTGGGCTAAAACTTGCAAAAGTAGTTCATCAGTGTGTGTTCTATCACATATACCTATTCCGGTTTTTGCGAAAAGTCAAAAACTTTTTGAAAAAAATAAAAAATATACTTTTTGTAATTGTAAATACATATTTTTCAAAATTTTCAAAATATCGAAAATTCGAGATAGCAGTTTGATAGCTACTTGTATTTGTAGTCCACTCATGCAAAGAAAATGGATCTAGCTTTAACCCGCGCCCTGCAGGGGGGGGGGGCAGAATCTGCCTCCCTCCCGTTCTTCGCCAATAACTTCTAAACGCGTTACGCCAGCGACGTCAAACTTTCAGTACCTTATCATACATCAATTTGACACGTTCTCTGAAAATTTGAGCGAAATCCGTCGGTCATTTTTTGAGAAATTGACGCTTTTGTGACGTCATGTTCGCCATTTTCGCCTAAAAAACGGCAAAATTTCAAACGCCGCTAACATCTTCATTTTTAAAGGAATCAAGAGGTGACAAATAGGTTATACGTGATTCTACTTTGTCTATCAAATGGCCATCTCGGTTTTTTGAAATTTTTGGATTTTGACCCAATTTTTTTTCTTAAAAAAACTGACTTTTTTGGGAAAATAATTATAAAATCCAAAATTTTGAGTGTATCGAAAAAACCGGAATTTATGTCAGAGAAGTAGTCTATGTGCACCTACATACCAATTTTTAGAAGAATCGGTTTAAAAGGATCGCCCATGATCGTAAATACAATACAATACAATACAATACAAAAATGTGGGAGTTATTCAAAATTTTATGACGTCACGACACACATTTTTTTTTGAAAAATCTATTTTTTGGAAGTTCTAGACCTCGTACGGAAACAAAAAAAGCACCATTCGATTTGCCGTGAAAAAACTGCATCAGATAGACACCTTTTTAGGCCTTAACAACCAACTTCAAAAATTGACCTCACTTGACCTGACCTTGACCTGACCTCGACCTGAAATTCATCCAGAGGTGGTCCATATCACTTATTGAGTGTGCCTATTTAATTCTATGAGTAAAATGACCCATAAAACATGTGTCGCACATACCCATTTCTATCTTTTGTTTTTGGTGACCTGACCTGACCTGACCTGACCTTGACCTTGACCTTTGAATGACATTATATGCAACGAATATTGTCTTGGTAGTCTAAGAACACGTTTTGGGCATCAGTCTCAGTCCATTCTTCGGCAACTACGGTGCAAGGCCGATACTGTAGAAACTTGCATTTTGTACCCTTGACCTGACCTTGACCTGACCTCTGACCTACTTAAGCAAAAAAATTGGGCTCTTTAGATCCGCCTTGTTGAGAGCTTTCGATTGCCGTTTTCCCCGTCTTTCTACGACCATCGGTTCGGAAGTTAGACAGGGGGCGGGGGCAGAATCTGCCCCCCCAGCAGGGCGCGTATGGCTGAATAGTGAATAGCCCAGCGGGGCGCGGGTTAAAACTGAGCTCTTGAGAGCGTTTGCCGTAATTCAGTATTTTGCATGAAAATCGGCCGACATGACGTCACTCTGACGTCATTTCCGGTCAAACTATGGTAGCTAATGCGTTGAAATTTTAACACAAGGTGTCAAATTGATGCCTTTGAAGGTACCGCAAGTTTCGTGTTGATCCGTCAAAAGGTTTAGAAGATATTGCTGAAAAACGGGAGGTGGCTCTGTAGAGCCCCCCCCCCCCCCAGTCATGCGCGGGTTAAGATCATGAAATTAATGCAACTAATGTGTTTTAATAACGTAATGGTAGAGGGTTATTGAACACACTTTTCCGAAAGTTAATTTGAATTTTCAAAGGACATACATTAACAAATTCTCCAGCAAATTATAATTTTAAAATGTCCTGCCTGCCGACTAGCTATACTCGTAGGCTTCTCATTAACGCTACACCTATTACTGCAGCGCAATTTCCATGTCGCTCGTATTTCATCCAATGAGTTCCTATAAAGAAATTAATTATGGGAACCACACAATAATCTGCTTCTTTGAACAATGCCGCGGCTGTGTTTCACTGTTGGCGGTTGGATACGGTGAATTGCGGCAGCAGCAGGCAGCGAAAGACGCGTCTGTCGTTGCCATTACCATCCTATCATTACGATCGTGAGCGTCAGACGCTAGGCTCGTAAGTAATCACGCAATTAGTGGTGTTTGTGCTACTTTTGGACAGTTATCCGTCACCCAAGGTGAAGTGTTACTAGTGTTCGTGGTAGCGGCGCACACCTTTTTATACATTCTTTTATACATTATACATTTATACATTCCCCACAGATGCAGCTTGCAGATCTGGCTCAAGCTGCTTGCACACGGCCAGACCGTCCCGTATTTAAAATGCATTATTTCTTCTCTTTTACCGTGCTCTTCCTCTCTTCCCTTTCTCCCCATTCTCTCTCTCTCTCTCTCTCTCTCTCTCTCTCTCTCTCTCTCTCTCTCTCTCTTTCTCTCTCTCTCTCTCCCTCTCTCTCTCTCTCTTTCTCTCTCTCTCTCCCTCTCCTCTCTCTCTCTTTCTCTCTCTCTCTCTCTCTCTCTCTCTCTCTCTCTCTCTCTCTCTTTCTCTCGCTCTCGCTCTCGCTCTCTCTCTCTGTCTCTCTGTCTCTCTCTGTCTCTCTCTCTCTCTCTCTCTCTCTCTCTCTCTCTCTCTCTCTCTCTCTCTCTCTCTCTCTCTCTCTCTCTCTCTCGATGCTCTGTTAAGACCTCACACCAACACCACCCTGCTTTATCCGGGCTCGTTCTGCATGAGTCATATTCCGGCCTGTATCCCCTGCACGCGCCTCGGTGAGGCCCAACATCGATTGGGGTGCGGGCACCGCGGTAGAGACCGCCACATTGGCTCTGCTGGTCAGCCTGGGAAAGTTGAGCTACAGCCGTGATTAGCCGATCCCTCAGCCCGCCCGGGGAGAGTGTCTCCGGCGGTCGATGATGGGGCGATATAGAACGGGTGGTTGGTCGGCGCTACTACAGCTTTTATTGAGCGCTGTGTGATCCACTTCTCTAGCTCAGGGAGGGTAGATTCACCCGAAATACGCACGTCTATGGGTCAGACAGGGTGGGTGGTGTTACACACATCTATCGGTCTAGATATCTCTCGGTCAGGATGGGAGGGGACAGTCACATCTCTCGGTCAGGATGGGGGGGGGGGGGTGAGTCACATCTCCGGGTCAGCTCAGGGGCGGATCACATCTCTCGGTCAGGATGTGAGGGATGAGTCACATCTCTCGGTCAGGATGGGGGGGGGGGGGTTAAGTCACATCTCCGGGTCACCTCAGGGGCGGGTCACATCTCTCGGTCAGGATGGGAGGGGCGGATCACATCTCTCGGTCAGGATGGGACGGGAGGGGCGGATCACATCTCTCGGTCAGGATGGGGGGGAGGGGGGTGAGTCACATCTCCGGTTCAGCTCAGGGGCGGGTTATCCACCGCCGATGGGCCCGCCCAGATGTAGTGCGTCCGGTGTCATTACCGGTTCCGGTGCTGCGGAGAGGACCACCCAGCGCGGTGGTTAGGCCGTAGGCGGCCAGTTTCGTTTTCACACACCTCCTACGTATAAAGATGGCTGACGATCCGAAAACTGCAAGACTTCAAATTTGAGTGTGCATTGTTATTAGAGGGCATTAAATATGTTTGGAGTTTTTTTTTTTTCATTGCTATATTGACACTTATTCAAGATTCACTTAGCGCAAGTTGAATTTAACCTTGCACGGCTGCTGACGTTTGTTTACTGCACGGAAGGTCTGCGTAATTGGTCCTGTGTTATCACCGGGTCACGCATGTCATTTTAACAAACGATTGCACTCAATCAGCGTTCTTATCTATAGCATTGCACTTTTTAAGCAATGTCTTCCTTGTGTTTTAATAAATAAAAACAAAGCCAATTAAATACAGTCAAAGGCGGCTCAATTCAGCCGAAGACAGATAAATAGGTGCAGTCAGTGCAAGTATGTATATTGTACAGAGCACATCATTCAACATCCAAACAATGCTTGTTAATGTTTCGCGGTTGCGCTACACACAACAATACATGTGATATTGGTTAGCACATTGTGCTGTATTTATTTGATTGATGGTGAACACCACTCTAGCAGATTTCATCTTTAGACTTATTGAAGAGGCGACTATTTTTACCGCTTTTAAAGCCCAACTTTATCTCGACCGTGTCGCAATATCAAACGGCTTTTGATAATTAAGCAGACTTTAAAAATAAGTTATCATTAGCCGTTTTCACGACGGGCTATCCGGCGAATGCACCTGATTTGACCAAATCTGCACCTAATTTCTTTTACAGCAAATATCTTCATTTTATGAACTCATTTCAGTGTTTTAATCGATGATGCTCTCTGATAGTATGACAAAGCAGGCATATCAGCAATAAGTGCAACCCTATCTGATAGCTGCACTAAGAGACACACTGAACCTGACTTGACCAAATCTGCACCTAATCTGTACCAGACGTGCACCAAATGTGTACCAGATGGCCGTCGTGAAAACGGCTATTATCTGTGCTGCCAGATGTCACAGGTTAAAAAAATATATTGACATATTAAGATGATTAGATTTTAACCATCTATAAAACCTTGTTTTCAGTGACGTTTATTTCATGATCAAGCAAGATGGTACCATGTTTCTATCCATTCTGGCGTAAATATTGCATTGGGTTAATGGCAAAACACGACGGTAAGGATAATATATCTGGAAACTATGGTTATGAAGCTGATATTTTTGTGTTACATAATACAAAAAAAAGATTTGAGAGCAGTCGCATTCATACTCAAAATATTTGTAAGAAGAGTCCAGTGCTTTGCGACAAAATACTTTGGGAAAAACGTGAGCTGAGCTTTTTTATCTTTTGGAAGTAAACTAAAAGTGTGAAAAGTCTAAAATGACAGCTTACTATCAGCTAATGCTAAGTCTTTTTTCTTAGAAGTCGTTTTTCAGCATGCAAAAAAGAAGCTGTTGAACTGACAAGTAACCTCAAGCAACCTAGAAAAAGACGCAACATACTACAGCTTATGATAGTAAACCTTCAGAAAATGGAAACATTTGTACTTAGGGATATCTGAAAACCAAGTTGTCAATAAATGTCAGAAAGACAGACGGTTGATGAAATTAGCCCCTATACTAGCCGTAGGTGGTATTTATATCCAACGGCACTACATCGTTTGGACGTATCAGTGCCGTGTCAGTGTGATGTAAGTACATTTATGCAGCCAAAGGCCACAAATGGCCAGCTTAGTTTGACTCAATTTCGTGATTGTGTGAATCGTGAGCGTTACACTTGAATACGAACATAACACACAGGGTTCATGCAGTTGAAAACTGCACTCACTTTCATATCATCACTGCATGAGTAATCGCTCGCATCACCATCTCATTTCTTATACATACCAGTATAGCGCCTTTTGGGGCGACTAACGGAGCGAGCGAGGGGGTGAGTCTTGCACGTGCGAAATTTCGAGGGGGTACCTCCAACTGACTTGTGCACGGCACCCTACTGACCGGTTTCTAGCGATGTGCCAAATTTGAGCACAATCGGCCCAGCCGTTCTCGAGATCTGGGAGCGGCACCCTGCACGTGCGCACGTGCAAAATGGGTCCCAACTGACTTGTGCACGGCACCCTACTAACTGGTCCCTAACCGTGTACCAAATTTGAGCGCCATCGGTCCAGCCGTTCTCGAGATCTGGAAACGACCCCTGCACGTGCGCACGTGCAGCAGCACCCCAACTCTGGCATATGGATATGCAGTGCCTAGTGGGTGCCTACCTACATGCCAACTTTCAGCGCAATCGGCCAACTAGTTACCGAGATATTGCAACAATTACAAAACTGACACCTCTTCGTTTTGCACGTGGCACGTGCATAAGGGGTCACCTATATGCATCGGGAATAGTCCAATACTTGGTAGAAGGAATGAAGCTACCCTACAAAAATTACCGCGTGTAAATCGGTCAAGTGGTTGCTGAGATATAAGCCTCGCAAAAGCGTCCGCACGGCCGGCCGGCCGGCCGGCCGCTCATACTCAGAAATTTCCGTTAATCTAAGGAAAGACTACGCTCGCTTCGCTCGCTCCGTAATAAATACTCCTCAGGAGTAACAACCATTTTTCAAAACACCGCGTGATTCAGCCCGCCAACATTAAACATTAAAGTGCTGTTAATTTTGGAGTTGAGTCGACTCAACTATGAGTTTCCTCGCCAATATTGCTGTCTTTCACAATCAGGGCAGTTGCTTTGCCTATATCATACGTACACATTTTGCGGGGTTCAGGTTTCTGTGCTGGGGTGGCAGATTACAACACCGATAGTCATCACACATCTCACACAATCTCACACATCTCTCGTAGACCTCAGAAAGTGGTTTCTCACAAGGCTCTCACAGTGACCTCAGCGCTCACGTAGTGATCTCTCATAGAGCTCGTACATCAACCTCAAAACAACTCCAGTCTGTCAAGTTGTGAACAGACATCAGACATTCAGCGGGACGCAAAGGAGTATTTCACATACAAACACTCACGTGAAGATGTGGCACACCGGGAAACTTACAAACACGTTACCACAACCTGCGAGTGATTGACGAGCGCCGACAGCAGTCCCTATGCAAGCCGCGAGCCATTTGATATATCGTCCCTACGAGGAGCGTTTGTACCATGTGGGTATGGGTGGTGTGTGGCACCGTCAGAAACCGTCCACACTTCGGGCACCTTCGGAGACCGGTCACGAGAGCGGTCACACGCTCAGAGAGCACCTGCGTCCGTTCCCATGGCCGCCTTGCCATAATGCCTGGATATGAGAGATCGCTCTCCGCCATCACCGCGGAAAAAAAAACCACCACCGGCGCCGGTAGAGGGTCAAAGTGTCACTGCAACGCGCCACCAGTGTCGCCACTAAGAGATAGTCTGTGATTTCAGCGCGAACGCCGGCATCTGAAGAGCGTCCGGGCCGCGCTGCTGCGACAGACTCGGAGTCCGAAAGTGGGCTGACGGTGGCTTGGAGAGCGGCGTGCTCGAGGCGCCCGTGTCGTTCAGACTGTAGGCCCGGTACCGGTGGCCGTGCTGGAACTGACGGCACCCGCAGCGCAGCAGCTTCAGGAAGGCCATGCGGAACGTCCTGTTGACGCTGGTGTAGATGATGGGGTTGATGGTGGAGGACACGTAGCCCAACCACAGGAACACCGCCTCCACGTATGGGTTCACGTAGATGCTGCGCGACAGGCCGTTGGAGATGTTGAGCGTGAAGAAGGGCGCCCAGCAGACGACGAACGCCAGAAACACGAGGCCGAGCACCTGGGAGGCCTTCTGCTCGGCGGTGAGCGCCGTGCTGGGCGGCGCGGTCGGCCGCCGAGACACCTCTGAGGCCGCCGTCAGCCGCAGTGTCAGCGGGAACCGGCGCGTCTCGCGACTGATGCTCTCCGGCGTCTGGACGGCCACGTCGCGCGTGCTGATGCGGTAGCCGTTGGTGAGCGGCGCCAGTCGCAGCTCTGCCGGCTCGCCGCGGCCGCTGGAGGCGCGCTGGCGCAGCGCCACACTGCGGCCCACGTGCCGGTGGCGCAGCGTGGCGCCCGAGCGGCACTTCTGGCGCAGCAGCCAGGTGGTCAGCGAGTAGGTGATGACCATGATCACCATGGGAATGAAGAACGCCAGCAGGCTGCCCACCACGAAGAACACGCGGTTGTTGATGGCGCAAACCTGCAACAGACAGACGCGGAGGATAATGGTGCAATAAAGCTTAATAGAAGTTAGGAGAAAAAACCTTCCTTCGCTCGGCTCTCACTTGATATAGTGCAAGCAAAGTCGTGTTGTTTTTTTTTTTTCAAACAGCATCATACTTCAAAACCTTATTACTTATACACATTGCTGTAAAGGGTTCTTGGAAAGCGGCTGCGGCCAAATTTCTCTTCGATATTCTCTGAAGCATTTATTTGATCGGCAAATAAATGTCTCAGTCCAACGCCCGGTGAACACCAAATGAAATAGCTTTACTAATCCAAACGATTTTCCATCGTTTGAGATTTGAGCTTCGTTCTATGTTGTATGTACATACGCACCGTGCACTGCCAAACCAGGTATGTGTAAATATACATATTGCGTAGAGCAAAGATTCAACAGGATAATGCAGCATGTAAGACGGGATTGTAAATGGGTGAAGTCGAATTGCTATGAAAATATGCTACTGCACCCGATTTAAGCTCGGCATATATTGCCTTTGCAAGACTAACCGTTTTAAATCGTTATGTAACATTCCCTCAGAGAAAGAATTATGAGGAAATTAGAAACAAAGCTTGAACTTGGAGGACAATGCGCCCATAAGCCTCACACTGTCGACGATTTGGGTTGGATGGATGTCACACTACCCACTTTCGTCAATGCAATAGTAATGGGCTCTGGGCTGGTGAAATTCCTAGATCGAATTACTAAGCGTCCTTCAGCAATGGTCTTGTAAATGCTTAACCATGAAATACAATTTGCATATAGACCTCTATATAAGCCTCGCTGTTTCATCTAAGGTGCTTCAGCCTTCAGAGCTACATGGTGGACATTTTTGAATGGGTAATATACCCTTTGGACGTTTCTAGAGCTTGTTAGTTGTTACACGTAAATATTTAAACCTTTTAAATTCATGACAGTTCACTCATCACTGGCGGCTGCAAGTGTTAACACTAAGTAAACACTTTGACAAATTGACTGGCTCAATTGGAGTGGTGAATTGATCAAACTCACGAGTCCTCTCTTCTCTCTTCCTTCAACTCCCCCTGTAGGCCATGGTAGCTCACACGTCTGTGCACCAAAGTAGTGTCCTGGGTATTATAGTAGATTGTATCGTACTATAGTTCATTGAATAACTCATGAGCTATATTGAGAAGTCTGCGATATATTGAAGTCTATGATCGTTTATAGCACAAAACATCGTTAGTAGTACTGGAAGTGGAAACGGCTGGCATGGGAATCTTTCTCATTCTATATTCAGTAATCCATTTCCATCTAGCCCGTCTTTATCCCACCAAATGTCGATTTAATCTTCCTTAGTGTCTAACCAAGTGGGTCAGCTAAGCTTCTGATGCATGTTATCGAACATCCTGTGGTGGTGGGGATTAATTCGTTCTCCTTTATTCCCTACCAAACATTTTTTTCCGTTTACCTGTGATAATGCTTCCAGACTAAGCACAATTTGTTTGAATAGGTTCGAAGTCTTAAAATCAACAGAGCTGGTGCAATTAAAACACATTAAGGTTGGGACTTTTCAATTAAGAACATTCACATCACTATTCTTTAGAATTGTGATTTTCTATTGAAAATCCCAACCTGAGCTACCTCTCTAGGGGGACATTTGCAATGAAAACACAAAACACAATATAAAACACATTTGGATTAAATTGACAATGCAGCGGAAAAAACGACGGAACCATAAATGTAGACACCTACATACATTCTCTGAGAATGACGTTCACTCACCTTCGGATTCGGCATGATGTTGTCGAGGTTGACGATGCCCATGATGGTGACGATGCTGGAGATGCCGAGTGACAAGAGCCACACAAGCACCACCCGGGTCACCACCTGGAGCACCAGCACCAGCACGAGAAGTCAGTCGCACCAGACGAGAATCAGTCGACTCGCAACACCAACACGGAAACGCTTTTATTCCTGCTGACCTTTGAGACATGAGAGGCGTAAGACAGGCTTCCGCAAAGTCGTGAAATGGCGCTTTCTATAATGTAACCACATATCTTTGGCCTGTCGCTATAGAGTCCGCCCTAGCATATCACTAATCCCTGGCGCAATGGCCTTTTAAGTCGTCTACCCGGCACGCAACATTTGCTCTTCAGAGACTGAACATAGAGCCCAGCAGGACATTACACAGATGCAAATGTCAAGCCCACACTGCAGGCACTGGGTGCCATTCAATCAAAAGTCTGACATTATGCGCACGAATTCAAGCGTGTTTTGTTGAAAACTGCCGTTCGTGACCTAAATGAGAATATGATGGAGGCCTGAGTTGGTCCAGGGAATCCAAAGACGCGAGCCAGGCCTTGCCAAAAATTGACTTTTGCAAAGGATTCATGAATATTGGTTGCTGAGATGTGCCAATTCTCTCTACTGACAACTATCATTTAACTATCAACTCAACTATCATGACAACTATCATTTAACTTTATCTTACATTTAAAGTTAAAAACAACGTTGAAACAACTTTAAGTACCTTACATGTGTGCCCTGATCTTTGAAGTTATATTTCGCACTTTTTAAATCGGCGAATTTTTGTTCGGAACCATGCTCAGTTAAGTTACCTATTTTGCATTTTGCAGTCATATCTTGCAGTTAAGTTACCCAGTAGCATTGCGCCTCCCTCTCACCTGTCGAAATGTGTTACGCGGCTGATTTTTCAGCGGGTCGCGGATACCCAGGTACCGTCCCAGCGAGATGAAGCTCATGTGCCAGATGGACGCCGTGCACGCCAGCACGTCACAGGTCACGTAAAAGTTGCACCAGGCGGCGTTCAGCGGCCACTCGTCTGCCGAGAAAGGAAAGTATGACGTCACAGCGGGCTCTCGAAGCTCGATTACAAACAGGTAAGTCCGCATGTATGTACTTACACAATTTAAGCTTACATGCATCCTCCGGCTGAAAATAAGCATTAGTTTACGAGTATGAGGCACTGTCAATATTAGAAAGACATTAAAGTACTTCAAATGCCTATGCACGTATGCACGCAGGCCAGGAATCAGGATCACAGGTAACGCATTAACCGGATAACGTACACATGAAACGCAATCACATCCGTGCAAACCTTAAGACTGAGATGCATATGAGCTCACATTATTTCAGTACCGATGTGAAAAAATCGGCACTAATCAACTGAGTTCAGCTCACTTCCCATCACTTCACTCCGGTTTTCAGACCTCATCCAGTGTACCAACTACGACGGCTGTCGACGCTCCTCTGCCGACGCTGTACGTACTTTCATCTCTGAACATTTCCTGTAGGAACCGAGAGTGGAGTAAATGGTTACTTCATTCCGTTGTCGCCCATCCAATTACGCCACAAGTTTGTTCTTGGATCAGCAGTCTCAAGCCTTGATTCAGTTGTAACTTGTAAGTATCCTATATAAGGCGTGGGGTTAAGAATTGCGTAACGAAAATAATGGTTTAGTGTGCCCTAAGGGAATAATTTTGTTTGCATGCCGTATACATACTTTAAAATATCGAACACTTTCTCAGTCCGCAAGGATAACTGTTGCATGTCATTTGGACAAGGTGCAAACGCGCAACAACAAGGTGCAAACGAGGCTCTGTTCAGAGTCACAGAGGTCCGGTATAGATGGTGCCTAAACCAGCTGCAGTGGCCGACCCAGTTTCACCTCATATTTCTCCAGACGTGGCACACGAGTGACCAGAGGTTGACCCCATTTTGACACAATTTTTCCAAAAAGTGTGACGCGAGCGATGTGTCTTCGCCGCAAGTTTGACATCCTGAATGACTCTAGCTCGTCTCTCTAACTGATGAAGGCATTAGGTCAGCGTGAAGTGTTGACAAAGTCTAGTTACAGACAGGGAATGAAACGAATGGTGGCTCGTTGTCCTAAAAAGAGCTCTTGATTTAGCAGTCGGTGCGGTTTCCGGCGAGTAGGAGTTTAATCTTATCTGGGATTCTATCCATCTTGCATCCAATGTCTTCGAAAATATCCTATTCGATTTTGTTTTGTCCACGCCACCTTTCCTATATCGATCTCTCTGCCAAAAACCTATGCAATATGACATCTGAGACCACTGTCTTTCGCCACACGATTCACCATGAATTCCTAGCGATATAGTTATTAATTTCCCAGCACTTTTGCCTGCAAGAATCATCATCTAGGGAACAGCAAAGTGTTTGCATTTCTCTCTGATCAACGCCTTACGACGAGAGATTTTATGCATTTCCATATGCACGTATTTCTTCAAGTTTTTTTTTTCACCGTTAATCAGGTATGACAGCTAGTTACCCTGCTCATAGCTCGACGCGTTTGGCCAGCTAAGGGTGCGACCCACGACTGCGTCGGCGAGGCTAGCCCACGCGCCACGGCGAGGCCCGCGGCTCGCCAACGCAGCGCGGCACGAGGTTCGCTGCCGGATCCCAGCGCAGGCTCGCCCTCGGCTCCCGCTGTTTGATTGATGTGTCAGGAAGTGGACGTCATCGGCTATATCTCTCGCTGATAGCAGTGCAGAGCCGTCAGCCAAACGCACGCCCATCTCGGCGGTCCGCGAAGAGGATTGTCTTTCTTGGAATTGTCGGGAAGCTTGTGGGACGGGAGTGAAGGGATGTTTGGCCCTCCAGCAAAAGAGCGGTTGGTTAGGCGGTATGTTTTTGGTATTATTACTTTGAATGACAGAGCCACTCCAGAAAAATGACTCAATAAAAATGAGAATATGCCGTTCTGTGCGGACACTTTGGTAATGGTTTTAACCAACCAATAGATGTCTTCATCAACGCAGATCGACTATTGTGAAATTATTGTAAAGCTGGCAACCAAACACTTCATGCCTGGAGGGCCGTACGCCCGCAATGTGACGCCTGACGGGCATTCAACGTTTAAAACTTTTAAACCACTCTGTGCGAATATGCTTCCTGCTGCGCATTGTGGTTACTGCATATGTAAGTACATACTTACGTACTTACAAAGAGTGGTGGCGTGCTGAACTTCCTCATTTAATACGGCATTAACATGGATTTATTAACAAGTATTTATTTGTGCTCCATTAAAAATGTATTCATAAACTTGGCGACTTAATTCAAAATGCAATCTTGCATGAGCAACGCAGTCAGTAAATTATTCCAAAATCAGTTATAGAAGGAAGAGAATCACACATTGAGCTCGGGTGGAGTGGGATATACCAAAACATCACTAAGACCCGTGGTTCGCTGGATTTACGGAAAGGGCGACAAATCATTGGAAGGTGGTGGCAACATATACTTCCTTAGAAAAATTATGAGCCGTTACAATGATATGTAGATCAAAGCATCAGTGCATCCTCCCAACACCATCAGCCAATCATCCACCTACAAACATACACCGAAGAACCAACTATGATGATGGATAAAACTCGACCTTCGTAGCTCACGCACTCCGATGAAAAAAGGCCAACTCATAAGGCGCCTCACAGAGCCACAATTACTTCAGCCATCGATAAACAATGAGCCAGCCGCGCTCGCCAGCCGACCAGTATGCTCCTCAGGTGGCCTTTGGTGCGCGGGACGGCAAACATTGGGCATTGGCTGTCGTGGCCCGCATACTAACCGACCAGGGCATCTGTCATCGCGAGCGGTGTGGTACTGACCCCGAGCAGGCTGCATCAAAAGGGCAACAGACGGCGTCAAAGGACACCGAATCAGAGACGGACCAAAATGGCATCAGGGAGTATCAAACGGCACTCCAGATCAGAGGCAGTCTGGCAACGGCAGCAAGGTAAGCGGTATTACAACGGCACTTGACCAAAGGCCCAACCAACTTTCCTTAAATTTCCGTTAACACGGGAGGAATACACGGGTGTACTTACGTTCATTTAGATAGCACAGCAGATGTACCATAAGTTCCGCAACAGTGACGTAAAATGAAGCTCGCGATCTTCACAGCCTTGACTAGCCCTTGAAATCATTTGTGGTATCTTGGCAGCACCACACATAAATTCAATTAAGCATGGTGGCTTATCGCATATCTCTCCCAAATTGCAAGTCGCAATAATTACGCCGACTTGTGGATCTGCGGCTGAAACATTACGAGGAGCAATCCAAACCCCTGTGGGTCTGACGGAGACAAATCTACCAGTCGGCGCGACAAGCATTGCACATAATTACAACGTACCGGAACCATTAGCTAACGCCATTTCAACAGGCGTGCGATTTCGAGCCTGCATAGAGAGAAGGGGACGTGCTGGATTTCAGTATAACTTAACCCGCGAGTTGCTGGGGGGGGGGGGGGGGCGTTAAACGCCCCCACTTTTTTCGTCGCGCATAGCATTAAAACGGTTCGCCGCAGGCGCGCCAAATTTTGGGTACCTGTAGGGAATTGATTGAAGTGTATTGTGACAAAGTTTCAAAAAAATCGGTCAGAAAATTTTTGAGATATCGAGGTTTTAGTGACGTCATGTTTTCTGAGTTTTCGACCAAAAACGGCATATGTTCAAAAAATCATATAAAATCACAGAACAGACATATAGACATGCCGTAAACGCCATTAGACTGCCAATACCATGAAGAATGAAATGGCTATCTTCGATTATTGATTATCGTTCTGCATTTTCCAAAATCTTGAACTGAATCTTGGCAATTTCTCATAATTACTTCACGACCATGATACATGAATTTCTTAAATTGAACTTTTTTAGCCAAACACGTACACATATGATGAAATGAATGTCACCATCGTGTTCTACGCCCCAAATTACCCATAAAACATGTGTCACAGGTTGCGAATATCAGTTTTTATTTTCGGGGATAATGTGCCTGCCCGGTTGACCTGACCTTGACCCTGACCTATGCTTGACTGACCCCTGCATGGAGCTGACACTGTTGTAGGCCTTATATGATGGATTGTGCACCGTTTTGACAGAGTTTATGACGAGAGGCGCCCATTGCGAAGTCCTGAAGTCCATGCTACTGAAAGTCCGATTTCAGGTGTTTGACCTGACCTTGACCTGACCTGTGACCTCAAAATTCAACTTTAAAGTACTCATCTGAAGCGTCTTGTCGCGTTCTTTCGTTTGCCGCCTCGTGCGTTTCGCTGCGCCTATTGGTTCTCGAGTTATCCGGCTGGGGGCGTTTAACGCCCCCCCCCCCCAGCAAACGGTGGGTGGCGAAATACCCCAGCAACTGCCGGGTTAAAATCAAGGAACAAGAGTTTCACGAACACTAAGCGTTACTGAACACCACTTTTTGATTAACCCATTATTCATACACTATAGTATTATCCGTGTGTAATACCTTGCACACATTTTTACTGTTGTGTTGTGCCAGTTAGCACTGTACCAGTTCACGGGTTTTGTTAAAAAATAATCAATTAAAAAGAGATTCTTTTAGACACCAAGCATCTCTGTTGCATGTGATGACTAATGTGGCGCCCAGTGAAAGCACTCCCTCCATTCTGATAACAATGGCTGAGTAAGGCACCAGAGAAATCTCAGCTCGCTGCTGACCGCTCCTCTGCCCGCTGACCGCCTGCTGAGAGGCTGCTGAGCTGGCGCTGAGACCAGGTGCGTGTTCCGCCATCGTGCTGAGCGCGGTCCGTCTGAGCTGAGCAGCGCACACCTCAGAACACGCACAATGGTCCGGAGACCGGCCGACAAAGGCCGCTGCAGCTATTGTACTAGCAGCGACGTCACCGTCTTCGGGAAGCCGATCCAGAGACGAGGGGAGATGGGGAGGGGGGTCCCATGGGCCTCGCCGGGGATATTCGGGGGTATTATAGATTAATTCTGCTAGGCGTATAAAATGAGCGATTCGGTTCTTTCACTGGACGTCTCTGGAAAGGAACGATGA